ATACAAACTCAATTTTATAAATACTAATTAAGATAGACGAACGATATAGTAATAAAAAAGTAATATCACCTAAGTTTGTATATGTAATTTATATATTTAACACCACTCAACATGAAATGATTAGATATCGAATATATTTTATAGTTACTGATCTACTATAGTAACAATTTCTTTATAGATTTATCTCTATTGAAAAATAAATAAAAATTGTGCTATAAAAATTATAGAACTAGGATTTGTGAGTTAAAAATTATAAAGTTAGCAAGGTATTCAATGAAGATGCTTGCTAGTTGAGAAAATATCCTTTTGCTTTTGTACGTGGTTTAAATATTTTTGTTTTAATTTTGGTATCATTTGTTTTTCTTTTTTTTTTTTTTTTTTTTTGAGAATGTGACGCAACGAGTTAACGTAACAACAAAGATAGCATTCGACTATACCTTTAGAATTGATAAATAAATCTCAATCACCAAAACTTAAGTCATAAAATTTGAAGTAAAATCTGAATAATCATTGAATAATTTCCAAAACAAATAAAATGTTTATATGGGGTGATGACAACCAACCCTTATAAGACTCCCAATCAAACAAGGAAATAAAATCCTAATTAAACACGCAAATTAATTAAAAGAATAAATCCTGATTGTTGACTAATTATAAAATAAGAAATTACTCTAAATAAAATAGGAAAAAGGCTCATATAATTTAAACAACCCCGAAACATGCGGAAACAGTAGATTTTGGCCTTGAAAATGACCCCTAATCGGAGGACAAGGTTGCCATGACATTAGGCTCGAAACGAATTTTCCGTTGATATTTTTACGGGTCCCATAACTTCTCCCGAATCAAAAGTTATGAATGTTTTAAGTTTATTTGTCTACGTTTGGGCTTTTGATGCTCGACCCTCACCAGGAATTCATCTATTAGAAGTTTTACATCAGAAAGAATGAGTGGAATTAGTGTAGATGGACTATAAGTATCAGTAATATTTTTTTCTTTTATTGAGAGGAATTTGTATGTAAATTGTATTCTAACTACTACCGGAAATTGCATGCATGTATAGAATAGGTAGAATTGTATTTTTTTTGTTAAATTGAAAGGGTTTTTCTATCTTTCGTTTGGTAGAATTAATTCAATTTTATAAAAATTATTTTCTTACTATTTTCTGATTTTATATCTATTATAAAACCAGGGAAATTGTTTTGAAATATCTTCTGAATAAGACAAGAAGGATAATATGGTACTTGCATAAAGTTGTCAGTTCAGTAACAGGATATGTTTAACTAAATGAAAGAACAATTATCACGAATTAATCTCTTGCAATTTTCTCTCATAGCAACCAAATAATGAAACTCTTCTCTGCCACCAATCCATACTACTAACAAATTGCCAATGAGAAATGACGGAACTATAATTGTTCTAAACCTACGACTAATTTCCTATAACATAATTGGCGGTGCAAGTTCAAATTATATTAAAATTAATATATATTTTTTATAATATGGCCTCCCCTGTTAAGTTATTGAATACTATTATATGTACAAAGTGTTCTTTATGTAAACTCTTTCATATTGTTGGGGATTGACTAACACATTTCGGTGTTAAATTATCCATTTTAACATGCAACGGAAGTATTATCAAGTTGTTTAAGAGATTTTCAATTTTTAACCACACCAAACACAAGTGCAAAAAGTAAAGAATACAGCCATATACATGGTTCGACTAAATCCACTTTTAGCCTACATCCATGGGACCTTGTCTAGATTGAAGCAAATCCACTAATTAACAAACATTACAATATATAGTTCAAAGTTGATCTAAAATATAGTAAAAAGAACTCCCTGTTTAACTTTACACTTAGCACCACACTCTGAATCTCTAATGTCTTGTTGTACCACAGATCTCTTCACACCAGCTTCACTCTTAGAAAACGCTTGAGCTTCAACCAAGCTTCAATCGTTGAAGACACGCTCCAACATCAGCAAAGGAGCCATGTTCCAGTTGCCATTCAATAATGAAGATAAACAAGAAAGTTTCTAGCATAAACCCATATAAAAGAATCCAACCATGAACAACTCTCTGTAAAGTTCAGAGCACCAACGAAATTTATATTCAGGTTCAAAAAGAAAAAACAAACAAGGAAGAAGATGAACTTCCTTTTAGCTCAACAAAGATGAAGGATGATAAGCGTTTAGCACAAAAACATATGGGGAACCTTTACGGAAAAAACTCTCTAAAAGTTTCAGAGCACAAGGCAAAAACAAACATAAAGGTTAGTTCACAAATGAGCAAGAATGATGAAGATATAGACTAATTTCGTGCTCCCCAATTCTTGTCAAGTCAGCAAACAAGACTTGACATATGTTGGTCCAGAAATGGAAAATATTCTATCTATCTTTTGGGACCACAACCAAAAGGGAAAAATGTTGATTTTCCCTGGACCACAAGAGGATATTGGGACACCTGTAAGTGGTCTTCATGATAGCACAACAGATGGGAAAAAATATCTCAACTGATAAAGATAAAAACGCAATTTGTGCAAAATGAGTCAGATATGCGATGCTAGCACAGCAGAAAAGTGTGCGCACACACGAATTGAAAAAGCAAAAAGACATAAGTCTGACATAGCTGAACATGTGGAGGACAAAAACAATTCAAACTTTTTGTTGGACCACAAACATATCTTTTCTCTTTCTTGGGGGACCACAAACAAAGTCTTACAACCTTTTAGGGGAATTGTGCTACAAAAATTATAGAACTAGGATTCGCGAGAAAAAAATATGAAGTTAGCAAGGCATTCAATGAAGATGCTTGCTGGTTGAGAAAATATCTTTTTGCTTTTGTAGGTAGTTTAAATATTTTTGTTTTAATTTTGGTATCAAATATATATATATATTTAGAATGTGATGCAACGAGTTAGCGTAACAACAAGGATAACACTGACTATACCTTTAAAATTGATAAATAAATCTCAATCAAAGAAACTTGGGTCATAAAGTTTGAAGTAAAATCTACATAATTTCCAATACGAATAATATGTTTATATAGGGTGGTGAAAACCAACCCTAACAAGAGTTCCAATCAAACAAGGAAATAAAATCATAATTAAACACACAAATTAATTAAAAAAACAAATCTTGACTGTTGACTAATTATAAAATAAGAAAGGACTCTAAATAAAATAGGAAAAACACACGGAAAACTTAAACGACTCCAAAACATGCTGAAACAGTGGATTTTAGCCTTGAAAATGACCCCCACCCAAAGGACCAAGTTGTCATTCATGACGTTAGACTCGAAGCGAACTTTCCGTCGGTCCTGTAACTCTTCTCGGATTAAAAGTTATGAATGTTTTAAGTTTGTCTATCCACGTTTGGGCTTCTAATGCTCGGCCCACTCTAGGATTTCAGCCGCTATAGATTCTACGTTAGAAAGAATGAGTGGAAGTGTAGATGGACGGTAAGTATCAATAATATTTTTTCTTTTATTGAGAGGAATTTGTATGTAAATTGTATTCTAACTACCTCCGGAAATTGCATGCATGTATAGAATAGGTAGAAGTGTAATTTTTTGTTAAATTGAAAGGGTTTTTCTATCCTTCGTTTAGTAGAATTAATTCAATTTTATAAAAATTATTTTGTTACTATTTTCTACAGTGGTGAATCCAGGAATTTCACTCGATGGGGGCAAAAAATAAACAAAACAAAAAAATTAAAACCAATCATAACCATACTTTTTTTTAATTACGATGAGCTTCAACAAAAAGTTATAAGATACAAATAAATATCTTTAAAAAATAAAACAATTTTTGTAAAAATAAAATAAATTTTCTACAATTGTCCTCAACAAGTTTCATATTTTGAAAACGTTGGACAATCATCTCATCATCAATTGTATCAAATACATCTTTCTCAATATAATTACTAAGCAATCATTCATCCATTAATCTCCCATTTGATTGCGTAACCGACTTTTTACAAGATTCATTGCAGAAAAAAACTCTTTCAACAGTTGCAGTCACAACTGGTAAAACCAATGCAAGTTTCACAAGCTTATACACCAACGTATACAAAATATCCTTTTTAAACCAAATTCTTTGTAACTCAGCAAATTCATCACAAGAACGCATGGTTATAACATAAGTCTCAGTTTGGTTCTCAAGTACCATCAACTCAAGTGTAGAAAAATCAAATAGATAAAACTGGTCAAACCCATTATTTCCTCTCTTCTCTTTTTCCCTTTCCTTTGCTTTTTCTTCCCTTCTTCTTTACGGGGTTTTCTCTCTTCTTCTTTATTTTGGGCGAACAATCCACTTTATATATAAAACAGCTTCTTTGAATTATGAACCTGTCCCAAAATTCTTTTATTCACCATGACCCCGCCACATTAACTTTTTGTTATAAAAATACCTAGATTTCTCTCCTTAGTTACATGTAAACCCATCAGTTCTTATTCTTTTCATTTTCATTTCCAATAAAACTTTTAAAAACTAACAAATCCTTTTACATAAAAATAAAAATCACAAAAAATATATAATATATATATTAGGATTAAAAATAGGGTTTTACAAAAACAAAATCCAAACGTACTGTAGGTGTCGTTTCATTCCCAAAATCTCAAAATTCTTTACGGACAAAATTACATATAAAATAAATATGAACTCTGAAATTTTTTAAAAATTGAGTGGGACCGTGGTCCTCACATGTCATTCATTGGATCCGCCATTAATTTTCTGATTTCATATCTATTACAAAACCAGGGAAATTGTTTTGAAATATCTTCTGAATAAGACAAGAAGGTTAATATGGTACTTGCATAAAAAGTTGTGTCAGATCAATATTGATATCAATGTCCTTTATCTTAAGGGCGAAAGTGTTTGTTTCGAGAATCATTGGGGATGAGAGTAGACTAACTAAACTACAAGGGTAAATATGTCATCCCGAATCACTGATCTGCTCTATAAAGTTCAAACTTCTGGGGAAACCCAACACAGGTCCTGAACTTAATCCTCAAAAAAATCTCGGCCAAAAGATGGGTTCAGTTGAAGCAACAAAACCACATGCAATACTAGTTCCATACCCAGCACAAGGCCATGTTAATCCCATGTTTCAACTAGCCAAACTTTTACACTCCAAAGGCTTTCAAATTACCTTCGTCAACACCGAGTTCAACCATTCACGTTTAGTCCGTTCCAAAGGAGAAGACACTCTCAAAGGTCTACCAGATTTTCGATTCGAAACCATACCCGATGGTTTACCCCCGTCCGATCGTGATGCAACGCAAGATGTTCCTTCCTTGAGTGATTCTACAAGAAAAACTTGTTTGGCTCCATTTGTGGAGCTCATAACTAAGCTAAATGACTCACCGGAAGTGCCGAAAGTTACTTGCATAATTTGTGATGGAGTGATGACATTTGGAATTAAGGCCGGGGAAATACTTGGGTTACCAGTGGTCTCCTTTTGGACTGCCTCTGTATGTGGCTTCGTGGGATATTTGCAGTATACTGAACTCATCAAACGAGGCATTGTTCCATTCAAAGGTACTGTTTTATTTTCGCTTTGTGATTGGAATTGTTTCTACTTAAATAAATAATCACTGGATTATTAAAGTTATGATTCTAAAATGTTTGGTAGATCACATTTTAAGGTTTAAGTTGAATATTAAGCTGCTCCAAATAATAACTTTTAAAAGTCAAATTATTTTAAAAGCTTATTTCGTTACCTTAACAACATCATAACCAATATAAATTGCAAAACAATTTACTAGTGTAATATTTTCTTTCTAAAATAATTTAATGATTGATGAATTATTTTTAAATTGTAAAAATAATTTATCAAAAATATTTCCACGAAGTTCTTGGTGTTTGATTAATTCATCCAAGAAATTTATGTGTGATATATGAATTTCAACTGAGATTTATTAAAATTTTAATAAATTATTTCATTTTATAAATATAGTCTGATATTATTATTATTATTATTATTATTAGGCACCCTGTTTTTCTTTTGAATCGTTTTAACTAAAAACCTAGGAAGCAATAAAAAAATTAGTAATAACCGAGTACCAATAATAATAATTTAAAAAGCATGCTTAATTATCTAGAATTCTCACCATTGACCATACTGTGCCAAAATCATTCAAAGAAATTTTCCAAATAGATTCACTATCCTTACATATTTTGGACAAAAAAAAAAAAAAAAACTTATAAGTTCTAGCTGTGGGCCTTGTGGCCCATATATTCTATTGAACATAAAAGATAAAACTGATGTTTACAAAAATATTGAGGTCAATTAACTTGAGTTGGTTTATAGTATTGTTCTTTTTACTCTCCGAAATTAGCCGAAATTCCAAAACTATAATTTAAACTAATTAACATTATTATATTTATCTACTTTCAGATGAAAGGTTCCTTAGTGACGGCACTCTCGATACACCTGTTGATTGGATCCCCGGTGTCGACCACATGCGGCTAAAGGACTTGCCAAACTTCATGAGAGTTACTGATGTCAACGATATTATGTTCGATTTCTTGAAAACAGAAGCCCTCAACTGCTTGAAATCTTCCGCAATCATATTCAACACATTTGATGAATTTGAAGCTCAAGCATTAGACCTTATCGCTCCCAACTCTCCCAACATTTACACAACAGGTCCACTGCCCTTGCTCTCTAAGCATCTGCCTGAAAACGGTTATTTCAAGTCATTCAGGTCAAGCTTGTGGAAGGAAGACACAGAATGCCTTAAATGGCTCGACAAAAGAGAACCCAATTCAGTCGTGTACGTTAATTATGGTAGTGTGACTATGATGACTGACCAACATTTGAAAGAATTTGCATGGGGTCTTGCAAATACCAAAAAGCCATTTTTATGGGTGGTTAGACCGGATGTGGTGAAAGGTAGTGACAATTCTGCAGACTTACTTGAAGACTTTTTTGAAGAGATAAAGGATAGAGCGTTAGTAGTGAGTTGGTGTCCACAGGACAAAGTTCTCTCACACCCATCCATTGGTGTTTTTCTAACACATTGCGGGTGGAATTCTACGCTAGAAAGCGTATGCGGTGGCGTGCCTGTAATTTGTTGGCCTTTCTTTGCTGAGCAACAAACGAATTGCCGATATGCATGCACAACTTGGGGCATGGGCATGGAAGTCAATGAAGATGTAAAGCGCGATGACATTAAGGCTCTTGTTAAAGAAATGATGGATGGTGAGAAAGGGATGAAAATGAGGCAGAAGGCTGAGGAGTGGAAAAAGAAAGCGGAAGAAGCAACGGATATTGGAGGAAAATCTTATAATGATTTTAATAGATTGATTAAGGAGGCTCTCCATCATGGTAATTAGTGAAAAAGTGGGAGGGAAAGCATGGATTATTAATTACAGAAGTATTTGTTACCTATAATAAAGACATCAGCCGAGGCTTTCCTGTGTCAATTCTCAATAAATTTATTCTTCTGATGTATTTGTTGTACTTTCAAAAACTATGAGATTGTTCCGATAATGTAACAATGAAAACTATATGAAGTTCGATAATAATAATCACTATCTATTCCATAGCTATCAAACCAAAATTATCAATACTACCAAATGCCTAATAAGTTGTTATTTGATTTCTAAGAAGCGTAAACACATATATCAACTGAGATATGGAGTATGAGTGAATATAACAGCAACCCAGAAGGAAGACTTTGTATGAATCTGAATTTTAACTTGGTTATTTTAATTCTTGTAGATGTATAAAGGTTAATTAATTAATTCATCCTTATAATGACATTAGACTGGGCAAACGGGTGGGTACGGGCAGATAGCTATAAGTAACGGACAAAACAGACACGGGTAGAAAAATGATGACCCATACCCGTTGTGTGGGTACGGGTCGACCCCCAAGTCACCCGTTTATTTTACTTTTTAAAATTTTTCCTCTCTAAGTTTTTATTTTAGGTTTTTTCTCTCATTTATTTCTCTTTCATCTTCGCCGCTTTTTCCCTCACTCTAGACCTGGCAAACGGGTGGGTACGGGCCGGATAGCTATAAGTAACGGACAAAACGGACACGGGTAGAAAAATGAGACCCATACCTGTCTGTGTGGGTACGGGTCGACCCCCAAGTCGTTATTTTACTTTTTAAAATTTTCCTCTCTAAGTTTATTTTTAGGTTTTTTCTCTCATTTATTTCTCTTTCATCTTCGCCGCTCTTCCCTCACTCTCCAATTCTCTTCGGCTTCTTCTTCCCCTCTCTCAATTCTTCTTTGTCTTTTCTCCTTCCCCCCTTTTGCATAATTTTTCCCTCTCTCCAATTCTTCTTCGTTTTTCTCCCTCTCCACTTTTTCATATTTCTTTTCTTCGTCAGTCTTCACCTTCCAATTCTTCTTTGTCTGATTGAGAGAGAGATTGAGAGAAATGGGCGTTGGTCTGTGTGTGAGAGAGATTGGGAAAAAATTTTAGGGTTTTAATTTTTTAATGATTTTTTTAAATAAAATGTGGGTATCCGCAGGCATTACTTGGCCCACCCGTATTTTTCACGGGCAAGCTGTGTACGGATAAAATTTTCACGGGTAAATTTTGAGGGTATACCACCCATTTGACACGAGTACCCGTTGACCCATGGGTACAAGTACCTTTTTGCCAAGTCTAATGAAATATGACGTGTTTATTTGACGATTTACACAAGGGAATGTCCATTCATTTGTTTTCTTTGATTTTTTCGGGGGAATGGCCATTCCATAGGATTTCCAAACATTGTTGATTCTATAAACAATATTTTGAAGATGGCTCGTCGTCAGGCATTAGCACATACACCATTATGGGTTCAATTGAACCCACTCAACTTAAAAAAAAAAAAAAAAAAAAAAAATTTATATATTATAGAATTTACAATTTTGACTCACAAAATTTGAATTAATTAACATTTTTTTTACCTTTTCTCTTTTTTTAATTTCCTCTCCTCTCCCATATTTTCTTCTTCCTTGGTTAAATTACTCAGGAGAGGTTATTCCTTTAGAGGTTACAAAATAAGATGATGCTCCTTTTTTTTTTTTTTTTTTTTTTTTTTTTTTTTTTTTTTTGCTTTCTTAATTGATGAAAAATCATGAATAGGTTTTTGTTGAGTTTAATAAATGCGTTTGAAATTGGAAGATTAAATTTCTAGATTATGAAAAGCCTAAGTTATAAGATTTGCATTTCAGTATATATTTTATTATAAATTTATCAACTTAGATGTTTTGAACTCACTCACTCAAAATCTTGGCTACGTCCTTGCGTTTGCCCATTACTATGATTGATGAATTTCTTTGAAAGACATTTCAAATTGGTTTAATGATCGGCATGATGTGGCAATAGAGTGAAACATTTACCTAACACATTGGCAAATAATGAAGTCGAAGAAAGTTTAACATAATCAGTTAATTACTTTGGTTTTTTTCCCCATTGATGGTATTGTGTTTCAAGTGTGTGATGATAAAATTGATGGTCTTGTTAATCTTAACAGTCGTACATGTAGTTGTAAGAAATGACGAGTAAGTCAATTGGCAGGTGGTCACCTCTTGGCAGTTTGTAGAAATTGGGGATTGAGTTATTATTATCAATGGTGCCACAACATGTATACACAAGATATGTTCCTAATAGCTTATAATGATTCCATCATGGCTTTAGGATATTACTCTTAATGAACTATTCAGATGATGTCAAAGCCAGACATGTCTTGCCACCAATTTGTGTGCATCGACTTCATAGAGGCCTTCAAGAACAAAGAATTACATCTAGAGATGAAATCATCCAGTTACACAAGTATGGGGATGTGGATCTCAAGGCTACAATAAGAGAAAATGTCGTTAAACGAGCCTTCCAAACTGTTAGAATTGAGAGAAGAGCTTTGATACCGTGTTAAAATTGAGAGGGCAAGAGAGGTAATTGAAGAGATCTGGAGTATGCTCGAGAGATACCTTTGAGAAGGAAAAAGAGGCAATTGAAGAGAGTCGGAGTATGTTTGAGAGATATCTTTGAGAGGGCAAGAATTGTACTCAATTGAATTGAATTATTTGTATTGAGTTGTTGTATTTGAGTTGTGAATACACAACTTATTTATACAAAGTTTGATAGCTATATAAGGATATAAAATACTACAAATAATGGTACAATCTCAATAATAAAACAAAGAAAATCATATCTTAACATAATTAGGAATGAGAATAATTCACATATTCTCATTCCATGTCCAAATGATATGTGAATTAATGTCACATATTTTCTTCCCATATTTGTATGTCAACACTCCCCCTCAAGCTTGTGATTCGTATAAGTCATAAACTTCAAATTTGCGTAGTGGAGGTGAATATTGTCTGCCATTAGATTAGAGTGGATTTATTAGCGGAAGCTTGATTATGGAAGAAGTTATCTAACTCGAGTGCCTATGTATCTTGCAAGTTGAAGCATAACTTGAGGCTAGAATAGGTTGTTTAGCGGAACAACTCAATAACCCGCGATAGTAGTAAGAGCTGAAAATGATTCAATATGCACCAAGAAAATTTTGAGGAAACACTGGAGAGGTGACAAATGGTCCCATTTAAAACCCAACCTCTTTCGACATTTATTGTCTTGTTGATATAATTTTCCTAGACATACATATATCCATATGAATAGCTACTCACTGTCCTAAACCTATATGCTATAATATCATGTCAGAATTGAGATGACAAGAGAGGCAATTGAAGAGAGTTGGAGTATGCCCAGGAGATATCCTCATGTTCTACTTCAACCTGCAAGATACATAGGCACTCAAGTAATTAGATGACTTCTTCCATAATCAAGTTTGGGTGATTGTTCTATTGTGAATGTGATGGGAAAGGGTGATATTAAGATAAGAACCAAGAATGATTTTGAAGAAACAATTTCCAATGTCCTCTATGTTCCTGACTTAAAAAGCAATTTGTTAAGTGTTGGTCAATTGCAAGAAAAAGGTTATGTAATCACTATTCAGAAGGGTGCTTATAAGATATATGATCCTACTAGAGGAGCTATAGTTGTTGTTCAAATGAGTTCAAATAAGTTGTTTCCACTGAAGATTGAAAGTGTTCAATCTTGATTGATGGCTAAAGTGAAAGACTTTTCATGGTTGTGGCATTTTCGCTATGGCCACTTGAGTTTTGGTGGACTAAATACCATTTAACAGAAAAATATGGTCACAGGTCTTCCTCAAATTGTTATTCCTTCCAAAGTTTATGAAGAATGTGTTGTTGGCAAATAATATCGTTCTCAATACCATCAAGGCAAGCCATGTAAAGCAAAAACTATCCTAGAGCTAGTTCATTCCGATATTTGTGGGCCAATAAAACCATATTCTAATGGAGATAAAAAAATACTTAATCACTTTCATGGATGATTATGCTAAAAAAACTTGGGTTTATTTTTTACATGAGAAATCATAAGCTTTTATTAAAAGCTTCAAGGCATGATTTGAGAATGAAATAGGAAAGACCATTAAAACTTTTCGTACTAATCGTGGTGGGGAATATTGCTCAAAAGAATTTGAAGTTTTTTTGTGAAGATCATGGCATTCGAAGAGAGCTCACAATTGCTTATACACTATAACAAAATGGTGTATCGGAGAGGAAAAATAGAACCGTCCTCAATTTGGTGAGAAGCTTGTTGGCAAGAGGGAGAATTCCAAAGATTTTTTTGGCAAAAGCAGTAAACTGGAGCATTCACGTCTTAAATAGAAGTCTTACTTTTGCCGTTCAAAACATGACACCAGAAAAGGCTAGAGTGGGTGGAGACCAGCTGTAGATCACTTTAGAATTTTCGGTTGCATCACATATGCACATGTTCCAAATGAGAAAAGAAAGAAAGTTGATGATAAGGGTGAAAAATGTGTCTTTCTTGATGTTAGTGAAGCATTCGAAGCATATAAATTGTTCAACCTGTTGACAAAAAAGATTGTGACCAATAGAGATATTGTTTTCAATGAAGAATGCACTTGGGATTGGAATAAGCGATAGCCTACTCCAATCATTTTGGATAATGATGCTGAAGGAAAAATGCAGCCAACTCTAGTAGCCTTTATGCCCGAAATTTCAACTTCAACAATTGTTGAAACTTTACCAATAGTATTAGAAGCTACTGATGCAATATCACAATCTCTTCACTATGTTCGAAAAAGGCCTGCATGGATGAAAGACTATGAGGTAATCGTAATTGATCAAACTGAAGATCCAATCACCCATTTAGCTTTATTTTCATATTGTGACCCTACAACTTTCAAAATTGTTGCCAAATAATCAAAATGGCTAAAGGCAATGGATGATGAAATTGAAGCCATCGTTATGTGATCTTCCAACAGGCACAAAACCATTGGCGTAAAATGGGTCTTCAAAACAAAACTAAGGGAAAATGGTGAAGTTGATAAGTATAAGGTGCGATTGGTGGCCAAGGGATACAAGCAAGAATATGGGGTCGACTATACAGAAGTTTTTGCTCCAGTTGCAAGACATGATACAATCAGATTGGTGATTGCGTTGGCGGCACAAAATTCTTCACCTATCTTTCAGCTAAATGTTAAATCT